CACATCTACAGACTCACACAAACACACACACACACAAACACACATGCATACATATATACTTACAACACACAATCACACATGGACACACATACCTACACATAGTCACATGTATGTATGTACATATACGACTCACAAGACAGACATGCATACATACATGCATGCACACATACACATACGTTCACACTCCCCTCCACATACATGTCCCTTGCAAACCTGTGACTCCACACTTTTGGCTCTCTCTCTCCCTCTCTCCCTCCACCAAGGCAAACCCCTACGTGCTTATGAGTCACAGCCCAGGGAGCTGGGCCAGAAGAGCCACTGTCTCTTCCCCAAATGGAATAGTCCATCTCCTCCCCTGGGCCTTTGCCCAACTGCCATCACACCCGCCAGGTGCACCATCTTCAGCTCCATCCTCTCAACCCTGGCCTTCCTCCACATCTCATCTTGGTTGGCAGTTCTTACAGGATGCCAGTTGCCGGAGCTCTGCACCCTCTTTAAATTACCTCGGTTTTACTTTGCTGCCCAGTACAAACTCTGGAGGGGGGGGAGGTGCTGTTTCCATTCTGTCTCTGCTTCTAGCACACAATAGGAGCTTAATAAGTGCTTGTCAAGCCTTGCGGAGGGTGGGCCAAAGAGGGGAGGGGGCAGGTGGTGTCTGGATAGGCTCCAAGGGCTTCTGCGCAATCCCTCTGCACAAGGCAGCCATGGGCAGGGGACCAGGGCGTGCCCCTAGACCTTGGGGAGCCTGGCCCAGGCCTCTAGCGTCTGCTTGTGGCACGGAGCCCACCATCTCAGGGTGATCCCATTTCCCAGGGAACCCGAAGGAGCTTTGGATAAAGCTCGGGGAAGAGGCAGAGGCGGGCCACGCACAGATGCCCGTGAGCCGGGAGGGGTTCCCGCACAGACACGGGACGCCCACGTTGTGACAAAGATTCTCAGGTAGGCAAGCTATGGGCTGGATGAGAACACTGCCAGATGGGTGTCCTTGGAGCTGACCCAAAGAGGAGCCCTCAGTTGTTCTGGGTCACCTGGGCAGGAGGTGTCCAGCGGAGGACCTACAGGATCTGCACTTGGCCCCGGGACAGCACACATCATTAAATGTGCAGAGGAAGCAAAATTATTTGTGGATTTCCAATTATGTCTAAATTATTATCTAATATGTGAAATAGCATGTGTTGTTCAGTTGTGTTTAGGGCTTTCTTGGCAAAGATAGTGGACTGGCTGCCATTTCCTTCTCCAGCTCATTTCACAGATAAGGAAACTGAGGCAAACAGGATGAAGTGACTTGTCCAGAGTCACACAGCTAGGAAGTGTCTGAGGCAGGATTTGAACTCAAGTCTTCCTGAGACCAGGCCCAGAGCTCTATTCCCTGGGCCACCTAGCTGTCCCTCAAGACGTCCACAGACGTTAATTAAGCACCTACTATGTGCCAGGCACAGTGAAGAAAGACGACAGTCCCTGCCCTCGAAGAGCTCCTGGTTTAGGAGACAACACGCAGACAGCTCCACGTCCACAAGATGCCGGCAGGATCAGCGAAGGGGAAGACCCTGGCCGGGTTGGGGCAGGGGGCCCAGCGGCACAGGACAGGCTTCCTGGAGGCCCTGGGCAGATGCTGCTGGGAGGGCCGGGTCAGGGAGAGCCTGCCAATGGTCAGAGCCTGCCCTCCCCGCGTGCTTATTTATTCAGAAGCGGTTTGTGAAGGTCCAGGACCTGAGTTCAAGTGCTGCCTTTGCCATTTAGTCCCTGCTGACAGTCACCTCACCTTTCTGGGCCTTCCTGGGGTAATAACGCAAGGTTCCCCCTCCCCGCCCAGCTACCGGGGGGGGGGGCTCCCCCCGGGACGGTACAGATGTGTCTCCCCCATCCCTCACTCCCAGCAGCCCATGGTGGGAGGGGGCACCCCTTCTCCCCCCAGCCCCTCGGGGCTCTGCAGGTGTCTCCCCCCACACAAGCCATGTTGGGAGGGGGCACCCCTTCTCCCCCCAGCCCCTCGGGGCTCTGCAGGTGTGTCTCCCCC